GGAACAGTACCTTCTGAGAAGCAAGATACGCCATTCCATCAGCAATATTCCAACCAAACCGTAAAAGCTGCTGGGACGAAAGGTTGGTGTTGGGTTGGATTTCAGGATCAGAATAATAGTCATCATTCTCACCACGACTCTTACGTAAATAACCCAACAGATCACCAAATGGAACATACTCGATAATAACCATAGGATGCCCTGTCAAGACATTGTCAACATATTATGATAATAGTTTTCATAACGGGATCGTTCAATCATTGTTCACGTGGTAAGAGGGCTATTCAGCTTACCATCTCCTTCGCCACACCCGAGTAGTTTGATCACGTGGGGATGGGGGTCAAGTGTTTTCAATAACTCGAACTCCTTCATCAAATCTCGTACTTCAGAATCTGTTGCATCAGCTGCCAAAAGAAGAATGGATGAAAAAATGAATGGAAGTTATGAAGCATTGATAAAGAACTGACAAAAAAGGCATGAGGTATGAATGAATGTTCAAARAATGAATGGAAACAAAGTKGACGAAAKAAAKAAATGGCGATATAGTGAACGAATAAACATCACATTGTATCAATGATAGTGACCATACCATAGGGGCTTTTAATAGCGACCATAGACCAGCCAACATTATCTGTCCCTATTCCATGTACACGTCCTTTGTAGACAAGACCAAAGGCACCATTTCCAATCACCTTGCAAATAAAAAAACAGACCAATTATTCACATTCATGGACTTTGGTAATAAAGTATATACACAACTTTACCTTCAAAACACAAATCCTCTCCTTCGGAATGGTCCAGTCGGGATCCATCTGATATCGAGGACTTCCAACCATTGTCTGATGACGTGACCCTAACCGCAGGTCAGTAAGAGCGAATGATGGCTCAAGTATTTGATTGAGAGCATTGAAACTAGGCATATCAACACAAATATATAATAGTTAAACTAAAGTGAATTGGACAATTCTTATTATATCGTCAATTTGAAAATGCTATAGGCCTGATATCAGCAGTTTACCTGACATGGTGCTCAGCCCAGTTTGCTGAAATGATTAACGAGAAGAATTTACTGGTTATATTGCATTTCTTAGTTTATGAACTGACCTTACTGCACTCACTTTTGACGCGATGTTTTCTGGCACGTCGCCGCTTTATCAGCAGAGTAACCAAGACAACTATCAGCAATGCAGCAACAGCGGCGGGGACGATGTAAATGGCTTTATGAAGTGATGATGACTTTATGTGTTTTGTGTTGTTCTTTACAGCAGCTTAAAGTGATAAAAATACAAAAACGTGACGCGTTTCACTAAAATCAATTCCCACTAGAGTTCCCAATACCCGTCCGTTTTTCAATCTCCAAAGTTATTAATATTCTTAGTTGACCCTGAAACTATGTGCAAGAGGTCTCGATTTAACAACAACTTACCTATTATTACAACAGCCTCAGACGTAGTACTAATAGAGGTAGCTACCATTGAAGGACCTTGGCAAGAGAAATATGTACGAGTTTTATACACGAAGGTTTCAAACTGGCGCACTGACAAGTTGCAGCAGTTAGATGGTGCTAATCTCTGATGCCATTCAAATCATAATGATTATAATCACTATTATGATTGGAACTATCAAAGAACCGCTGAATTCGATGTATTGAAAACCTTTTCGAAATGTTCTCCCAACAATCTCAACCACTCTTCGATTGAAAGCCACGTTTCTATGCCCTTATTGAAACGCGTCTTTTTTGGATATTCAAGCCRGGCAATCAATGCAAGAGCTATATGATAGTTATTCTATAAATGATATTTATCAAACAGGACAAATAATGACTCTTAACTCTTTCCAATCTCCACAATGCAAGAACTGTGCTCCAAATCCAGTTTACTCTCGCCGTATTTATTCCAGGCTGTTACTGTCAGCTCAAAGGTTGTTGCCCAGTCTAGCTTTAGTGTGTACCATGTCTCAGTAGAGCTGACATTAATATTACGCCATAAGCTTTTATAGATATGACCTCTAAGTATTCTGTATTTCACTGTGTAGCCGATCACCTGGGCACCGCCGTCATCAGAAGGAGTTTTCCAGYGAAGYWTYTGTGTRCGACTATCTGATGTGTCTTCACGTCGATCACAAGATACCTTAGGTACAGATGGCACCCCTGCAAGATATTATACACCGAGTTTAGAATACTATCAAGTCCTTATATCATGTAATTCTTATGAATATGGGTTGGAAGAATCCGTAAGATTTAGTCGTTAAATGAGCGATCGCGTGCCTCTGAATGATGATAATTGACGATGATCATGATATCATGATTATATGACTGTCAAATCCTTACCGACTTGTTTCAGGATAAATGTCACGTTATCTTTTCCTACCGCGTTTGTTGCTACACATGTGTAGTTCTTATAGTCAGCTTTTTTCGAGATCTTTACTTGGATATTCTCTCCCTTGTGTTGGTCAGGGTTGCCATTACTGTACCATTTCCAGGTAGATGGTGGATGAGCATTTACTGGACATTTTAACCATTCTGCTTTCCCAATTGGAATGGGTATCACGATGACATCGGTTGAAGAATTGATCCTTGGGGCATCTATTGTATTAAAACAATGATAAAGTAGTCGTGTTATTCTGGCGGAGTTATGACATTAGAAATAGAGCTAGAACACTAAAATATATCTATATATATCAGATCAAAAAACAATGGCGGAACTAGCGACTTTTTAAAGAAGGCTGTGTGCCTTGTACTAGTTTCACGGTTTTGAGGTTTACTGTTTCACGGTGTAATGCCTCAACTCTAATCCAAGTGATTGTCACTCAACGTACAATGAACATCTACAACGAATGAAGACGACGTCACACTTCCAACGATGTTACTTGCAATACACTGATATTTCCCAGCATCCTTCAGTTGTGTATATCTGACAGTATATGTACTCTGATAGCTTTTCTGGACCGTTAAACCGTCCCTTGTCCAGTTAATGAGTGGGCGTGGCTTTCCTGTTACTTGACACGTGAGATTTAGCTTAAAATTCTCCGTAGCGACTACATCTTTGGGTTTGGTAATGATTTTTGGCGGGTCTGGAAGCAAAAGATATTTTATTAGCAACCAATTTACATCAATTTATTGATAAAATGTCCATCTTTTTAAAATTAGCCTGGAATCAACTGAGGTCGTTGTCATATGTCATGTGACCTCAAATATCATCAATGGCTTCTTCAAAAGGAACAAAGAATGAATTTTTTCTTATTAATATTTTATTCTGTCTTTGTCAGTTCAGCTGTACACCCAGCTCGGCTTAGTTATTGCATCACAGAAGAAAAATCAATAAAGCGGCAGTAGTTGATTTATTGATAAACCTACCATTAACTATTAGTTTGGTGTTACTACGCATGTCTCGGTAAGTTCCATTCAGTATAATCCCATACACCGCTTCATCATCAAAATCGACATTATCTTTTATAAATGTCACTTTAGTAGTTGCTTTAAGGTGTCTTGTCAAACAATTTGTACTCTTGACTAGCTCTCGGGCAACCTATTGTACAAGTTGCATTTTATTATCTTTCATCCTTTCAATCACCAGTATTTAGAGAATCACCATTGATAATAATCAATTATCACTATTCATTTTGAGTTGTCAATGCATCGTAAATACCTTAATTTCACATAACTTCTCGAAATGACCTCGTTTGTACACACCAAATCGAATCTTTGAGAGATTTGTACGATCGTCATCGTTGAGATTGTATTTCCAAGTGAACTCAACTTGGCCACCACGAACCGTGGATACACTCCTTGGACTATAGGTAAATATAGACGGAGTCTGAAAGCACAAACGAAAGATTTAATAATCGTAATCGATCTTGAAAAGGTTGTCCACCTTAAAAAACATTTTCAATGCTCCAACTTCCCCGCATAATTACCAAAACATTCTATTGTTTTAACGCTAAGGATTATGGTCGCCAGAGGGTATCAGGTATCAGAGTGACTGCATATCAAATAAAATAAGCTTTTCATTGATCAAATGATGTACATCAACACTCGATACATTAAAGTTCTACTTTCGGAAAGAATAGTGTTAATAGGCCCAAATTGCGAGTCTTTCTAAGCATCTATCCACAATGTAAACATAATGTGACGTCATTATGCCATAGGCCAATCGTGTCTTGATTGGCCCTGATTATGTTCATTTTCTACACTTGGAACATTCTCTAATGAACACATAGAATACATAAGTCATTTCTTTAGACATCTTACAAGAAATGTTCACACGAATGTAAAGTGAGCATTTCATAAGTCACGTGGCAATTGGACCATTGGTAATGCCGGTCTTGTTAGATAGACAAACTTTTCATAATCGGCTGCATATTATATTGCATATTTCAGCAAAAGATCTCTTTCAATGATCTCTTCCAAAGTCTAAAAACAGCCGGATACCTTTACAATGAGTTGAGCTGAGTTCACAGTTGTAATGTCTTTCTCAACTGTCTATGGAAACAAACTTACATTAGTTATTGAATACAACTGTCTATGGAAACAAACTTACATTAGTTATTGAATACAACTGTCTATGGAAACAAACTTACATTAGTTATTGAATACAACTGAGAATTCGTTTCTTCGAGGTGACAAAAAGTATCAAAAAGTATAAATACATTATATATTCTGGAGCAATATGAAGTTGACCTACCTCAATGCCGTAAAATCCTTGATCAGAGTCTTGTATTTTAGATAGTTCAAAGATAGCCAGTCCCGTATCAACATTACCATACCATCGAACTCGGCCGAGATAAGGACCTGCATTAACGTCATGGGTGTTTGGGTAAATATTAGTACTTCTATTGTTGACTATTACCGTCAGGTAAGCCGTTTCTACAGTATTATCGTCGTTGTATTTGCCAAAATATGCTTTCTTGATAGGTGAACCCAAGAACCAGGTAAAATTAATTGCTTCTCGTTTAAAGCCAATTAACTTTCCATGGACTGAATCTACTGTGAAAGGAAAGAGTCACGTGTTAATCATGACGTCATGACCGCCATATTGGATGGAGTAATAGCGAGTAATGCTTTTGTTTCACCGGAGCCTCGTCTTCAGTTCGTTTATGCGCAAGGTTGACCATTTCGCTGCCGTGCTCCCATCCAAATTATCTGAAATGGCTTTGCAGTTTCATGATTTGATAATGGTTAATTAAATTCTAAAACATTTCCTCTAGAGAAACGCTTGTTTTTCTTTGTTTTTGTTCATTGTTTTTTCGTCCAGTAGCAACGGTTAGCTTAGCCACGAGCTAATCACAGTTGCTCTGTACTGGAACCTCATGGGATATTACAGAACTTTGAAATGCATGCAGCACTTTCGTTCTTATAAGCTATATTTGTACGAATTAACGATGAACAGGATGAAGGTAGCCACATACAATAGTGCTCGAGAAGAAAAATAGTGCTCGAGAAGAAAAAGGTCGAGACTAAGAGATAGCTAAACCACTCACCTTAAGCAAACTGAAGTAGTTTACTTATCAAGCAGTTTCAAATAGAAACAACGTACATTTTACTATATTCACACTGCTTTTTTTTAATTTCATCTTCAGTTGCGATTCAATTAACCCAGTCTTTTTCACTGATTTTGGTTTACTCACTTTGTGATAAATACCCTCAATGCCTATGATGTTTTTCTGAAATTGTTTTAAGTTTGACTTCAAAAAACTTTTTCATAATCGTAGTATATTTAAGGTGAAGTACCCTTATCATAAGTCTAAAACGTACACAATCTACGGTAAATTCAGTGAAAACTAGTTCAACATTCAAAAACCTCTTCAGTTCACTAATGAAAGTTCGTAACATTCACGAATAAAAACAAACAATCACTATAATGGAGTTGATGTTTTGTTCGCAGTTTTATCTAAGGATGGCGATGTTTTCTATTAACTTTTGATGGTCTAATCACTTCAAATGATTTGATTTGATGGTCTCATCACTTCAAATGATAGATTAAAGAGTTCCATACCTGAATTAAACCCTTGAAATATGGCAAAAAGGCAACCCAATAAAAAAACACGAATTTGAGCTTCTTTCATCGTGATGAAGAATTTCGTAATTATAGGATATGTAGACTGAGTGGATAAATGTACATGAAAGCGATAGACAGTGTTTACATATCGAGCTTCGTTTTCTTGAAGCCTGCTTTCTAGTCACAAGAAAAGCCTCAATTTTCTTTTTCTATTTCAGATTCTTATTCTTATAATTCTTTCCTTTATATAGAGATACAGGAATATTTTGTGACTACTCCAATCCTCTTTTTACGGTTGAAATATAAAAACAGAAATTATCATCCCTMAATCCACAACTGCTTCTTCTATATTTTATTCGAAAACGAATAGCAAATCCAAGGAAAGAATCGCGCATCAAGAAAATGAAAACACTCTTTCTTTTCTTCTTTATTGTAATCAACAACAACACGTACAGCGAATAACTTTATCTTACTGAATCGTATAACAAGAACAAAAACAAAGAAAAAGAAAGAAAATCATTTCAATTCGTTTAGTGACCCTTTGACTTGTTTGTTATACACTTCGTCAATTATTAATAAGTAGAATAAGTTTTTGTTTTTAGCAGACACTTATACTACAATTGCTAATTATTCGCGTCTAGAGTACTAGATTTATTCCGATCAGTTTAAGGTCCAAGGATGGACGCCGGACAATTCGCATGCTTATTCAATCTCTAAATGTAGCTAATTGTTATAGTATACTATGGAATTCCGTGGTTAAGAGTAATCGATGCATTCTCTAACAACACCTGTTCCAATTCAAGCTGAGTCAGTAATTATATACCTTGAAAAATAAATCAATTTAGATATGAACTAACACAGCAGCGGTCCAAAATATTTGAAATGAATGAAATAACTACWAATAACTTTGTTGAAWACAGTTTTAATTGAAAAGTACGTCGATTCACARACACGACATAGATGCTGTATCAGGTCTACACAAAAATATACAAAACTAGAATKATATGAAATGCCTTTTTKCCGCCATTTTCCAAATTCGAAGGGAATATGAAAGGTAAGTCGTTTAAATAATGGAAATGAGGCATCACGTCTGTATGAATGTTTCATTACCTCGTTTTCCTCTCTGGTTGCAACATCGAGGCACCGAAACTGAAACTGGCAAACTGGATTATATATTTTTTGAAACTCAAAATTTCAAGTATTTTCCAATTAAAGGAGCGCAATAGACACCTATACAGAAGTCTCAACCACCATCTTCAGAGATGCACACCAAAATTTTATATTCTCCTGTTGTTATAAACATCACCCACGACAACATTTTCTTCTTCATGAGGAAAATGGAACTAACACATGTATGATTTGTGTAGCAATGAGAGGGTAGTGATATAGTGGTTAGCATATCATTAGATGTTGAGGACTGAGCCGAAATAGAGAGTGGTTAGTGTTATTAGTTGTTCAAGACTATGAGAAAACTATTATGTGATTTCAGGGTTATTAGTCATATTTTTCGTGATCACGAGGATGATTTCAGCCCAGACCTCCAGCTGTTTCCACGTGTTTCGATCGAGTTCTGGTATATACTTGAAGGGACACGTGTTTCATACGTCATCAGTCCCAGGCCTTCAACAGTGTACCGCGGCTTGCCTCAGCCATTATCAGTGCAAAAGCACCAACTTTGGTTTTGTAAACAGAACGTGTGAACTGAACAACGCTGATAAATTTGATTCTCCATCTGACTTGGTACCGAGACCAGGGTTCAGCTACAGTGGTTGGAAAACCAAACAGCCTTCCAGGGTAATAGGCCTTTTGAATGAAATGGTCACATGGTACTAAATCCACCATATTGGATGGAAAAATACCCACTGGGATGTTCAAAACAAAGAAAAGTCAACCTC